AGCAGTCGCCTGAACAAAGACGAGACCTCGTCCTGGTAAACCTTTAGTCCCCGTAAAATTGTCAGTGAAAGGAAGTTGTTTCTAATCTCACATCAATCAAACAACAAAAATGTATCTATATAGAATCAATTCACAAAATGTCTCCTTGAGGAGACAGAGACGGACAAAGGGTGCATAGAAGCACAGATCCAGGACCACTAATTAAGGGGAGAAGGATGTGATAGTAAATTAGTGGGACTGCTCCTGTTGACTTCAGTGAAATCAAAACAATCATAGGCCATGTACACAAGCTCCACATTGACAGTTCTACAGTGCATATCTATGGTGTAGCTTTTGCTGGAAGCTTTACCATCTCTGTCACATACAAGAGCAGGATGACTCCTGCAGAGTCTGCTGACTCTAGGCCTCATTTGAATAACAACATACAGCTAAAGCAGAGTCCCTCATGAGTATATAATCAAAGTTAACTGTTTGGCTTTTGACAGCAGCCATCATGGGAAAGGTTTGTGTTTTTCTCTTTCACTTTATTGCATGTAGGGTTAATGCTGATGGAAGGCTTCCTTCTGCTTCATCAGATCATTTTCTATGAGGACAGAAATTTTGGAGGCCATCACTATGAGTGCATGAACGACTGCGCCGACCTCCACTCAATGTTTGACCACTGCCGCTCCATACGCGTGGAAAGCGGCATGTTCATGATCTACGACCAGCCCGAGTTCACAGGGAACCAGTTCTTTATGAGAACGGGAGAGTATTCTGATTACATGGGAATGACTGGAATGAACGACTGTGTACGGTCATGTCGCATGATTCCTTCGGTAAGCAGTTTTACAACTAGGAGGGTTGTAGAAGTGTTCACTATGTATTGATCTTGATAAATGGTAACTAGAAAACTGCAAAAAGTTAGCTTTGTTATACTCTCATATTCCTATATGAGACAATTCCTATATACATATATATATATATATATATATATATATATATATATATATATATATATATATATATATATAT